TTTATTTTGGATTGAGTGAAAGTTTACAGGGCACATCATCAGCTTCACATTCAACCATTCATATAGCTTGTTTCATTACATTGATTATTATCCCCTAGAATGTTTCTTTTAGTAAGAAAACGTTTTCTTAATTTTTTACAACTGTGGTCTCAGACAATATTTGTAATATTGTAACTAATTTCACTCAGCATAATGTCCTGCAGATTAATCCATGTTATGAGGCATTTCACAGAGTCATTATTATTCTTTAATGTTGCATAGTGTTCCATTGCATCTGTATACCAAAGTTTGTATCCATTTTGATACTCTATGTCTCTTCGCTGGTGCATTTAATCCATTCAGTGTAGTTATCGATGGGTAACCATTTGGTTTACTGTCATTTTGCTGTGTTTTTTGGAGAGTTGCTAGTTTCTTTGTTCCTCATAAATTTTTGTGTTGTGTTCATTTTGCTTGGTTTTCTTTTCATTTTCTTAATTGTTGTTGTTTTAATGTTTGCTAAATCTTTCTGATTTTCCTTTTTTTATATATAAAGGTATATTAATTTTCTTTGAGATTACACTGTAATTTATTAATTTTCCCCTGTTTGAAATAGTCTATTTTATTTCAAAATCTACTTGACTTTCTTGCCATTTGAAAGTTCTGTATCTACACTATTACCTCTTTTTGCTTTGTAGTTGACTTCATTATAAACTGATATCTCTAGTTCCCTATTCTCAGTCTTGTAGGTTTGTTTTACTTTGGATAATTCTATATTTGGACTGAGTTCTGGGTGGTGTTGTCATGTGTGGTAATGTCATGTTGTCTGCCATTTGTTGGTTCTCAGACCAAAGAACAACCTTTAGGATTTTTTGTAAAGTTGGTCTGGTTATTACACATTCCTTTAATTTCTGTTTATCTGAAACTATCCCAATTTTGCGATCATATTTGAGGGACAGCTTTGCTGGGTATATGATTCTTGGTTGGTAATTTTTTTCTTTCAGAGTTTTGTATATGTCATCCCATTGCCTTCTTGCCTCCATGGTTTCTGCTGAGATATCATATTTTAGTATTACTGGTTCTACATTGTAGATAACTTTTCATTTTTTTATGAGCTACTCTCAGGATTGTTTTCTTGTCTTTTGTTTTAGAAATTTTGTTTATGATATGCCTCAGTGATTTTCTTTTGGGTTCTATTCTGTTGGGGTTAATTCAGCTTCTTGAATAGTTACTTGCTCATTTTTTCATGATGTTAGGGAAGTTTTCTTTCAGCAACTCTTCAACAATTTTCTCCATGCGTTTTTTTTGGTCCCTTCCCATTCTGGAATTCCAAACACCTAAAAGTTATTCCTCTTCATGCTGTCCCACATAAATCTCAGGCTTTCTTCCAATTTTTAAATTATTTTTTCAGATTGTTCTTCTAGTATTGAGAGATTTATATTCAAGTTCACTAATTTGGATTTCCACTGATTTAAATCTGCCTTTTGCCCTTTCAATGTATTGTTCATTTATGAGATCTTAGAATTAATCTTCTAGATTCCTATTTACAGGATTTATATGTCAGAATTCGTATTTATTTTGTCGTTTGTTCTTTAACGTTTTCCTAAATTCTTCTAGTTTTTTCTGTGTTCTCCTTGCTTTCTTCGATTTTTCTGTCAATCCATTGAAGGAACCTAAATAGCGTTCTTTTGCATTATTTATTAGGTAGTTTCATTACCTTTTCTACTTCAGAAACATTTTCTGGCTTTGTATATTGGTCATTTGTTTAAGCCACTCTCTCCTGTTTCTTCATGTGAGCTAAAAAGAGAAAAGACAGACAGAAAAATAGAGTTGTACAAGAGAAAAATAAGAAAAAAGTAAAAGGAAGAGAGCAAAACACAAAAAAAACATCAACAGAGACAGGGAAGGTAGAAAGAGAAAGATACTAAGAGAGTAATGAAGACAAATCGAGAGAAGAGGATGGAAATGAGAAACAGAAGAAAAAAAGAAAAATGGAGATAGAAGGATAAAAATCAAGGGATGGGAAAGAGAGGAAGAAGAAGAAGAAAGAATAAGTAAAAACAACAAAACAATGAAAGGAAGCAAACAAAAAAAGCAATGTAGTTGTTGGACCTAAAGAGGAGAAAACTTTGGGTGTGTGTGTGTGTGTGTATGTGTGTGTGTAGGGAGATGAGGGTGGGGCTCCTGCTGGCCAATGAACTCATTAAGTGGGTGGAAGAAGGATGGGATGACTGAGTTCCCAGCCCAGAAGGAGTTCCTAGGTGTTTTCTATGTTCAGGACACCCAATTCTGAAGTAGTTCATGGAGGCCCTTCCTGTTGCTACTTTCAATGTCTATCAAAACCAGAGGGCAGCTAGGGGCAAGGTAGCTGATTATGAGGATTCCTACACATCTAATTCTGGCCTGGAGGCTCTATGTGTTCTGTAGATCTCAAGCAGAGCCTACCTGAATCCAGGCACCAAGGCTACACAGCTCAGAACTCCGGGAGAGCAGGGTCTATGCCAGACAGAGGTAGATGAGGGTAGAGGCCGGCCTCACCCCTGCCATCCATGGGGTGTAAGAAGAAATCCCACCCCTTCTGTTGCCCATGTGGAATCTATGTCATTATGTTGCCATCTGTCCATCCATCCAGAGCTTCTTGCAAAAGCTCAAGATGGTCGCACTGTTCCTGGCCAGCAGTCTACCCACCAGTTAGTCTTTCTCTCTCACAGACACTCTCTAGCTTCTCCTCCCAGTAGATATTCAATCTACATCTCTAACCTTTCCGCTCAAGCTCAAGCACCAGGATTGTCCTCTGTGTCTGTTTCATTTGGTCTCCTGTATCTTTGTTGTGGTGTGGCACTGTAGGATCAGCACTGGACTGCGAACCACAAGGCCAGCAGTTCAAATCCACCAACTGCTCCTCGGAAACCCTATACAGGGTCGCTATGAGTCGGCTCGATAGCACTTAACATCTTTGTTGTAGAGAGTCTGTGTAAGCATGTCTGCCAAGTCCACCATCTTGCTGGAAATCTGTATGATGTTCTTGATGTCATCCCACAATTCTTCTTTAGTCATTAGTGTCTAATGCATCTAATTAGTTCTTGAGATGGTCTCTAGATTAAGATGGGATTTATTCAAGTCATGTTTTGGCTCTCGTGGAGTTATTTTAATTTTCTTCAGTTTCAGCCTGAGCTTGCATATGAGCAAATGATAGTCTCTTCTACAGTCTGCCCTTAACCTTGTTTGACTGATGATGTAGATTTTCTCCATCATCTCTTCCCAGTGATCTAGTCGGTTTGATTCCTGTGTATTCCATCTGGTGAGGTACATATGTATAGTCACCTCTTATGCTGTTTAATTAAGTTATTTGCAATGAATAAATAGTTGGTCTTGCAAAATTCTATCATGCAATTTCTAGCATCACTTGTATTACCAGACCATATTTTCCAACTATTGATCCTTCCTCTTTGTTTCCAACTTCCACATTCCAATCATCAGTAATTATCAGTGCATCTTGATTGCATATTTGACCAATTGCAGACTGAAGGAGTTAGTAGAATTCTTCAATTTCATCATCACTGGCTTAGTGTGTTAATTTGAATAATAGTGGTATTAACTGGTCTTCCTTGTAGGCATGTGGATATTATCTTATCACAGACAGCACTGTATTTCAAGATAGATATTGAAATGCTCTTTTTGATGATGAATGCAATGCTATTCCTCTTCAATTTTGCATTCTCAGCATAGTAAACCGTATGATTATCAGATTCAAAATGGCCAATGCCAGTCCATTTCAGCTCACTAATTCCTTTATGGATATTGATCTTTATGCATTCATTATCCCTTTTGACAACTTTCAATATTTCTAGATTCATACTTTGCACATTCAATGTTTCAATTATTAATGGATGTTTACAGCTGGTTCTTCTCATTTGAGTCATTTCCCATGAGCAAATGAAGTTCCGAAAACTTTGCTCCATTCGTGTCATTATGGGAAAGAGCTAGGTCTTTCCCAGTGCCTTCCATCCTGAGAGGCTCATCTTCATACGCTATATCTGACAACGTTCTGTTGCTGTTCATAATGTTTTCAGTGGCTAACCATTCAGTAGTAAGTCCGCCTCTCCTTCTTCCTAGTCTTAGTCTGGAAACTCCACTGAAACTTGTCCATCATGAGTGATCCTGCTGGTATTTAAAATACCAGTGGCATAGCTTCCAACATCACACACAACAGCAACACACAAACCACCATGGTACAACAAACAGCCAGAAGAGTCAGGGGCACACGGGTAGGATTAGAGAGATGAAAACACCGCCTTCAGAAGTGTATAGACCTAGATGGAAGGCATGTTAAGAAACAATAGCTTCACATTTTGATATTTTTTGTTTAATTAAGTTTTCTATGATTTTGTAGTTTTGAGTTACCATTGTGTGTGTGAGTCCTTATTTTCAAATTATTTAAGTACAAACCAAAATCAAACCCAACCCACAGCCACTGAGTTAATTCCAACTCATAATGACCCTGGATAGGGTTTCTTAGGCTGTAAATCTCTATGGGAGCAGAAAGCATCATCTTTCTCCTTCAGAGTGGCTGGTGGATTTGAACTGCCAACCTCGTGGTTAGCAGTCCAGTGTTTATCCTACAATGCTACCAGGGCTCCTTTTTTAGGTACAAGGGGGTTCAAAAAGTTCCTGTGAAAATTCCATTTTTCCACAAACTTTTGAATAAGGAGCTCTGGTAGCATAGTGGAATTGCTGGGTCATATCATAAATTCTAAGGTGCTTTGGTAATATAGTGGTTACATGTCAGACTGCTAACTTCAAGGTTAGCAGTTCAAAATCAGCAGCTGTTTCATGGGAGAAAGATGAGGATTTCTGCTTCTGTAAAGACTGACAGTCTTGCAAACCCTACACAGGATCGCTGTTCATGGGCACCGGCTCCACAGCACACAGCCACCGCCACCACCATGATAATTCTGTTTTCCATAGCAACAGCACAATTTTACACATTCCCAAAAGCAGTGCAAAAGGATTTCCATATGTCTACATCTTAAAAAATGATTGTTATTTTTTGTTTTTAGTTATAACCATACTAGTAGGTGTGAGGTGGTATGTCATTGTGGTTTTAATGTTCACTTTCCTAATGACTAATTTTGAGTCTTGGTGTGGTGCTGTGAGTTAATGCACTGGACTGCAAAATCAATTTGAACAGCAAGGTTGGCCGTTGAAGCTCACCAGCCACTTCTTGGGAACCATGTACAGGGTTGCTATGGGTCAGAATTGATTCGATGGCATTTAACAACAGCAGCAATGACTAATTGAAGTCCTGTTGTGACACTATAGGATAAGCTCAGGACTGAAAGTTCAGTTTGTTCCACAAGGTCGGTGGTTCAAGTTCACCAGCCTCTCCTTGATAATCCTATACTGGGTCAATGATCCATTTTAAGATAATTTTGTAAATGACTTCCATTCTTTTTTCATGAAAGAGAGTTTGTCAAAAATGTTGAAGTCCTATACATGAATTAAATCTTTTAATCTTCATAACAATCCCATTAAGTATATTATTATTATCATCTACATTTTAGCTGCAAGGAAGCTGAGGCACACAGATTTTATGGCAAAGCCAGGGTTAGAACTCAGATGAACTGACTTCAAAGCATGTAATCCGTTCTGTTATGCCTTATAGCAGCTATAACAATAAAAACAACAGTTACTAATAGCAATAGAACAATGCAACAAATGTTAAATGAAGCGGAATAAGAAGACTTCATAACAAAGGTGACGCTTGTGCTGGAATTTATATGATGCATGGAATTTCAGCATGCAAGTAGAGGGATGACAGATAAAGTATGAACAGCAATGATCAATAATTTCTATTCCTCTCAGGGTCAGTGTGGTTCCTGTTGGGCTTTTAGCTCTGTGGGGGCCTTGGAGGGTCAACTCAAGAAGAAAACTGGAAAACTCTTAAATCTGAGTCCCCAGAACCTCGTGGACTGCGTGTCTGAGAACGATGGCTGTGGAGGGGGCTATATGACCAATGCCTTTCAGTATGTGCAGAAGAACCGGGGTATTGACTCTGAAGATGCCTACCCCTACGTCGGTGAGGTAAGACCACCTTACACATTTAGGCTCCTCCTTCCCCATTGTGGTATTTTGTACTAGAAAAAATAACAGAAATCTTGTTTTCCATTATTCTAATTTAATGAGATAATTTCCACAGAAGGTCAACAAGTTTCCTATAGTCTGAGAGAAAGTTGAGATCTTAGACTTACAACTCCTAGCTGCCTTTCTGGCTTTGGAGATTAAAATGACAGGTTATGCCCTAAGACCTCTGAGTACATCTCTATATCCTTCTGCTGTCCTGGTGCGGCGCTGTGGGTTAATGCACCAGACTGCAAAGCCGTTTAAACTGCAAGGTTGGTGGTTCAATCTCACCAGCTGCTCCTCAGAAACCCTATACAGGGCCACTATGGATCAGAACCAACTCAACAGCACTTAAGAACAACAACAATATCTTAACTTCTCTACTCCCCCTTCAAGCCCTCTAGTCCCACCATGCTATTTTCATGAGCCATGTAGCTTTATTTTGTACAATCTCAGTATGGGTTTTAGAAATGTTTAAGCAAATTAATAAATTAACATGTTAACATGTGCAAGAGGGCTTCAAAAAGTTAATGGAAATATTCCATTGTTTTTTAATTCAATTTCCATGAACTTTTAAAAGCCTCCTCAAAAAAACAAACACAAAAGTTGCTTCATAGTGATTAAAGTGTTAGAGATAAAGAAATCAACTCACTTCCTCCTATAAGATCCTTCTTTAGTAATAGAAATGAGATCTTTCCTATATAAAAGGGAGAAGAGCAAGGCCATTTTTGCATACAGAAAGTGTTAACATAAAGTGGAGCCGTTGTGACAGGAGTCTGGAGCAAGGATAGCAAGTTGATATGATCTGAATAATAAAAATGATGGCTACTATATGTTAAACCATGTGCTTCGAGTATTTTCTCAGTTAATCCTCAAAACAATCCTGCAAGGTAGCTTTCTCTTCACTTTATACATGAGGAAATTAATACTTAGAGGTAAAATAGCATATTCAAATCCATACCACTAACTTCAGAACCAAGGTTTATCTACTAAATCTGTTTATTGGTAACATTTCTATACATGTCTCTTATGCATATACATGGAGTATGGTGACTATATGATAAGCACCAGACTGCTAACCACAGATTGGCAGTTTGAGTCCACCAGCCACTCTGTGGGAGAAAGATACGGCTTTCTGCTCTTGCAACGATTTAAAGCCTCGGAAACCCTATATAGGGTCACTATGAGCTGGCATCGACTCTAAGATACTTAACAACAACATGCATAGATGTCAGAGTTTCTTTACTAGGATATAATACATTGGAACAGAAACAGAATGTCTGGGTCCTAGTATATGTGTATCTTCAACTTCACTGTTGTGTTGTAGTTAAATCCAGTTGAGTGTCTTCGGACTCAGCTGATGGGTTTGAACTGCTGACCTTGTGGTCTACAGTCCAGTGCTGATCCCACAGTGTCACACCAGGAATCCTAAAAAGTAACTTTGTCAGAAGTGGGATTCGAACCCATGCCTACAGGTGAGCAGCCCAATACTTAATCCACTGTGCCAGCAGGGCTCCTTTTAAATCTAATGGTCATGAATTCTTTGATATCTGGCTTCATTTATTCAGCACTGTGCTAATCAGTTTGTTGAGATAGCTATAACACCATGAATAATTTAAATGAAAATTACAAAATATTTTAAACCCCATTTTGAATAAGGAGCTCTGGTAGCATTGTTGTTGTTGTTGTTAAGTGCTGTCAAGTCGATTCCGACCCATAGCGACACTGTACAGGATTTCCAAGGAGTAGCTGGTGAGCTTGAACCACCGACCTTGCAATTCACACGGCTGTGCTGTCTGGTGCATTAATCCACAGAGCCACACTAGGTCTTGGTTACAAATTGGGCTGCTAACCGCAGGGTCAGCAGTTCAAAACTACTGGCAGTTTTGAGGGATAAAGATGAGGGTTTCTGCTCACGTAAAGATGTACAGCTTTGGAAACCCTGTAAAGGGTTGCTATGAGTCAGAATGGACTCCACGGCATATAACCACCACCACCACCATTTTGAATACAAGAGGCATTTGAGTTCTAATTTCCATTCTCCCTCTCCCTCAGCAGAGTCCTAGTGTGGCGCTGTGGGTTAATGCACTAGACTGCAAAGGTCGGCAGCTCAAGCTTACCAGCTGCTCATTGGAAACCCTGTACAGGGTCACTTCGAGTCAGAAGCGATGGCACTTAACAACAACAACAACAACAAACCCTCTCAGATGGTACTTCTAGCATGTCAGAGCAATGTGGAATGGTTTAGGTCTCATAATCAAGTTAAGGAGTCCTGGTGTGGCACTAAAAGATCAGCCCTGGACTGCTAACTGCAAGACTGGTGGTTCAAACCCACCAGTCACTCCTCAGAAATCCTATACAGGATGGTTATGAGTTGGAACCAACTCAACGACACTTAACAACGGCAATAACAAATCAACTTACAGTTTCTAAAGCAGTTATTGTCAAAAATGTAAGAACTCTTCTCAGATGAGCACATTGAAGGAAGGGGGCTAAAAAGTCTTGGGCAAAAAGAAGAGATCTGATAGGGCAGCAGCCCGAAAAGGACATTTTTAAAGAATGGTAATTTAAGTTTATTCCAGACATAACGTTGTTTATTCTGAATTTAAAGTAGCTTTCCACAACATCCTTCTGTGTCTGTCCCCTGGGTATTCTGTTTTACTTGTAGATCTGCCCCAGGAGACATCAAAGGTTTGGATTATGTATCAGAGAACAAAGGGATCTTGTGAAATTATCAAGGCAGGAGACCACTATGTTCTTCTAATAATCACGTCAAATACTGCCATTATTGTTAAATTTAGATAATATGTTCTTGTTGTAAATACAATCTTAGGATTTTAAAAGGGTTGTTGTTGTTAAGTGTCATTGAGTTGGTTCTGACTCACAGCGACTGTGTATAGGGTTTCCGAGGAATGGCTTGTGAACTTGAACCACCAACCCTGCGGTCCAGTTTTGCAGTCCAGCATGTTATCCTGCTGTGCCACACCAGGACTCCTTTGAAAGGGAAGTCTGCAGTAAAAGAGCTTGCCCAAAAGAACACACTGCCTTGACTTCTCATTAGATTCCTCAATTGTGGTTTGCCAATTAAATATATCATTGACAATTAGACATAGAAAACATTGTACTGGATCATAGACTAAATTGCTAAATTGTTTATTAATCTGTATTAGTGTCATATTATGTGCGTTTATATTGGTCTCTGATGGTAGCAGAGGGTCTCTGGTAGTGCAGAGGTTAAGCACTTGGCTGTTAACCAAAAGGTCAGCAGTTCAAGCCCACCAGCTGATCTGTGGGAGAAAGATGTGGCAATCTGCTTTGTAAAGATTATTGTTGTTGTTAAGTTCCATTGAATTGATTCCAACCCATAGCGACCTTATATAGGTTCCAAGGAGTGGCTTGTGAGTTTGAACCTCCGACCTTGCAGTTTAAACTGACTTTGCTGTCGATTGCTCATCCTAGAGTGCCATACCAGGATTTACAATCCAGGAAAGTTACTGGGATAGTTCTTTTCTGTCCCATAGGGTCACGATGAATCCAAGTCAACTTGACAGCAATTGGTTAGTGGGAGCACAAAGGTCCAGCCAAAACTCTGCTTCATACTAGCTCCACTGATAAAGGTGCAGAGAGATCGATCCTCTGTTTAGCTGGACCTTGACTTTGGCCTCATTCCACATGGTAGCTGGTGCCTCCCTGCTTCTAAGATTCATACATACTGCATGGCTAGAAGATAATTTGTACTTTTTTAAAAATCTTATATTAAAAAAATTTCCCTACCCTGAGACAATAAAAATATTTTCTCTCTTTTTAAAGTTTTACAGTTTTTCCATTCACATTGATATCTTGATTTTTGTATATGGTGAAAGATGATGGTGGTGGTGGTGGTGGTTGAGGCCCACTTTTCATATTGCTTTTTAGTTTTCTAAAATGGTGAGGAGGGAACAGGCCCTCTCTAGAAACTCTTGTGTGCTGCTGCCGTTAGTTCAAAGCTGGAGAGCCCACCTCACTGTTATCATTCAAAATATTGGTAGGGTTCTCACTCACTAACTCATTGCCTACTGCTTTGTACCAGTCCTATGTCGACCTTGTTTCTTCCAGGATGAAAGTTGTATGTACAACCCAACAGGCAAGGCAGCTAAATGCAGAGGGTACAGAGAGATCCCTGCGGGGAATGAGAAAGCCCTGAAGAGGGCAGTGGCCAGAGTGGGACCCATCTCTGTGGGCATTGACGCCAGCCTGAGCTCCTTTCAATTCTACAGCAAAGGTAAACAGCTGTTCTCAAATAGCCGTCAGCTGTCTTTTATGATGTGGGCTTGGCGGCGTCTTTCTCAGCATTTTCTATACTTAGTTTTCTCATCCAGACTGAGTCTGCCAGCCAGAAATGAGTATCTGCTGCTGTCTACAGTATGTATCTCTGTCATAAGCCCATTGAGCTGGGAGAGAAGTCTACAGAGGGTCTCCTACACTCAGAGGGCAACCCTTGGATAGCAGAGATCTCACCTTGATAGTTTATTTCCTAGGTGTGTATTACGATGAAAACTGCAACGGCGATAATGTGAACCATGCGGTTTTGGCCGTGGGATATGGGCTCCAGAGGGGAACCAAGCACTGGATAATTAAAAACAGGTAATGATGGGAACATTTCTTGTGTTTCCCAATCACTCTCTTACCACTCAAACTCACCTCCAATGTTTCAGTATTCCCTTTTCTCTCATAAACCAAGAGAAAATTCACAAAGTTTTTCAGTTCTAGCCTTCCAGTTGTTGTTGTTAAGTGCTGTTGAGTCAGTTCCAACTCATAGCAACCATGTTTAGGGTTTCCAAAGAGCAGCTAGTGTGTTTGAATCACCAACCATGAGGTTAGCTGTCAGTGCTTATCCTACAGCACTATGTATGCCAGGACTCCTTTATGTAACTAACATTACATAAATTGTAAATTGGCACAAAGAAGCAACAGAGACTTTGGAATTATGTTTCTTTTTTTCTTCCCTTTTTCTCTAATGTGATCAGTTTCTTAGGGAGGTCTCCATCATCATCTCATTAGGAGAACAGTGTAAAGGTTTAATATTCCCTTGCACAGCTTGTTTTCCTTCCAGGTACACTTAAGACACGCATGTACAAGACCCTGCCAAGGACTGAAATCTGTGAAGAGAAACACTATTTAGAAATAAGATGTAAACTTTAAAAAAAGTTTCTTTCCTTATTATTGAAAACAAATGAAACTCTAGGACACCTTAACCCATCTTCTCTCTTTAGCCCCTTGTGACTTAAGTGGCACAGATTTATAAGAATTATATTTCCTTATTGCTCTGGTGCCCTCTAAAGGAACAGGAGTCCTAGACTTTGGAGAGGTCACTATTAGTGCAGCTGTACTGTACCTGGGCTGCCACCTGGAGGTCTAAACATGGTAAAATGTAAATTTGGAAGTTGCTTCAAACCTGAAGCAACTTTTTTAAGATTACAGTCCCATCTCAGTTCAGGGTGAACCTGAGCAGCCCTTCTGAGAAGTACCTCTCCCACAACTTCTGTCTGGTGCCCTCCCTGTCTTGACTCCCATCCCCAAACACATATTCTGTCCTCTCTTAATTAGGTGGAGGCAGTATCTAAGGGACCTGAAAAGGGGGCAAATTCAGTAGGGAGGTCCCTAAGAAGGAGCAACCAGAGCTAGGGTTTAGATCTTAAATAAAATGTATTAGGTAACTGGATGGGAAAGAAGACTCATGAAAACAATTCAGGAAGAGTATATGCGGTAGCGTAGTGGTTATGAATCGAGCTGCGAACCTTAACGCCAGGATTTCGAAACTACCAGCCGCTCCGCGGGAGAAAGATGAGGCGTTCTGCTCTGGTAAAGATTTACAGCCTCGGAAACCCTGTACAGGGTCTCTATGGGTTGGAACTGACTCGACGGCACTTAACAACAACAACAACAACATATGCATATAATTCACCTATCTCTCTTTTTGCACTCATTTTTCTTACCAATCCTACCTACTCTTAGAGCTTCATTCATGTCTTCTGCTTTTCCTGCCTCGATGGCCCACTTCATGCCCCTCCAGTGGTGTCCCATTTCCACATGTCCAAATTCCACCCAGCCTTTGGGCTCAGCTCATATACCACCTGTGGCCACAATCCTTTTCTGACTCCCTTGATCACAAGCAGTCTCTCCCATTTAATATTTTAAACGTTTCAGGCCTATAGCATTATGCCTTTTCTCCATTTCTAAACTTAAAGCTTTTTCAAAGTAAAAACTGCCATATTCACCTTTTTCTACCATCGGTACCTAGCATAATACTCAGGTAATGTTTTCATGAAAAAATAGACTGAGAGAACTAAGCATTTTTCTCTGTTGATCCTACAGCTGGGGAGAAGACTGGGGAAACAAAGGCTATATCCTCATGGCCCGGAATAAGAACAACGCCTGTGGCATTTCCAATCTGGCCAGCTTCCCAAAGATGTAACTCCAGCCGGGCAGGTGCTCTTCCATTCCTTCCATGATGGTGCGTTGTACTGATGTGCTTTGGGAAGGAGTTGGCATGCCTTTCTTGAAGCAAAAGTGTTCAATTTCTCTGTTTGTGCTTCAGGTGACTCTCCTACTTCTTCCTTCTCTCTACCCAAGGCCTTTGTTTTTGTCACTGTGGCCACAACAGGAATTTCCCTGACAGGTGTGCACTTTTAGACAAAGAGATGTGACTACAGTCTGCCCTGACTGTTGTCCTGGGACAGATTCTGTGCAGAAAGAACCTAGAGATATTCACATACTAGATTCACATTCGTAGGGACTTGTTAGCCTTAAAAATACTGGAGGACTAAGTGATCTAACTTCTCAGTTTGCAAGTTCCATTTTTATTATGTATCATCAAGGTAAAAATGTCTGTTTTTCACCCTAATTCCTAAGTCTATTCAGAAATGTTTGATACATGTCTACATGATACCAAAAATGTGTTTTCTTTTTCTTCCTTTGCATTTTTTAAAAAAATAAACCAAGTATTTATCTCATTTATCTCTTGTCTTCAATTTAATAAATAGCAATTTAATTAACATTAATTTTGTGCCAGGCTGTGGTAGGTGCTAGGAACACAAGGATGAATAAAACATATTCCCTATCCTTGATGTGCTCTGTTTGTTTGGAGAGACTATCATATTAACAATGAATACCAATTCATTTAAACATCTAATACTTCCAACCATAATGAAATAAGTACACAGTATGCAAGCTCAGGAATGAATCATTCATTTTTAATGGAGTTTTAAATGAGGCTTCACTGGGAGTAAGTCTTTGAAAGATGTAAAGGATCAAAGTAGAGGGGTGGTGAAGGCATTGCAGGCTGAAGGTTTTGGGTGCGCAAAGGCACAGAGCTGTGTGGGTTTGTGCTGAACATTGGTATAGTTCAAATATAGAATGCAAAGGCATACATGACAGAGCTGAGGTTGGAATCCTGGAGGGCTTTGGATGCCCTGTATCTCCTTGTATGACACAAAGCATGTAATAGGAATCAAATATTCACAAGCAGGAGGGAAACAGTATATATCATCCACAGAAATAAATCCTACTTCTCTTTCCATTTCTACCTATAATTTCATTATTGTTTAACTACATAAGAAAGTATCTCCAAAATTATGCTACAATAGAAGTGATAGACTCTGGTGTAGAAACATGATTTCTTAATTGGTGCACAAAATTCCACTTTAAAGATGTACACAGTTTACTTAAATGTTGTTGTTGTTAAGTGTCGTCAAGTCGATTCCGATCCATAGTAACCCTGTATAGGGTTTCCAAAGAGCAGCTGGTGAGTTTGAACCACTGACCTTGCAGTTCAAACGAATTTGCAGTGTGATGCATTAGCCCACAGCGCCACACCAGGACTCCAAATTACTTAAATAGTCCCCTACAAATGAATATTTATGCTCTTGCCAGTGAGTTTTTTGGTTGCAAATAGTACTGCAATGAATGATTGATATTTTGACACAAAGAAAAATTTCAATGTTTGTACAATCAAATCTGTGATTATTTTGAGCTTTCTTTTTTCATTGATTTTGAACCAAGAGAGTGTTTATCCTTCTGTTGTTAAGGGCTGTTGAGTCAGTACAATCCATAGTGACCCTGCCTAAGGTTTCCTGCCTAAGTGAGCTTGAACTGCCGACCTTGCAGTTCAAACTGACTTTGCAGTCCAGTGCATTAACCCACAGCACCACACTAGCTAGGACTTGTTACTTCATACTTCTGATTTTTCAAGGTTTGATTTTATAAACTTTGATTTTTTGATCGATTTGCAATTTATTTTGGTGGAGAATGTCTGCTCAATTACTGTCTTTGTTCTTGAAAATAGTACAAGATCTTTACTCACGTGAAACTTATTGCTGAGTATGTGTAATAAAGATAACAGTGACAATTATGATAATTGCAGCAAACGAGTTTTGGATTTGTATTATGCATAGCGGTAGCATAGTGGTTATGAGTTGAGCTGCTAACCTAGCAGTTAGAAACTACCAGCTGTTTTATGGGAGAAAGATGAGGCTTTCTGCTTCTGTAAAGATTCACAGCCTCGGAAACCCTACACAGGGTCACTATGAGTGGAAACTGACTCTGTGGCATATAACCACCACCACCACCATTATGCATTGGGCATTAATTTGAAATGTTACATGTACTAAATAATTAAATCTTCATAGCAAACTTATGAATAGGTGCTGTTTGTATCTTCATTTTACAAATGACAAAAATGAGGTCAGAGAGGTTTTTTAAAATTTACCCATGGAGTTCTGCCCGGCTGGAGACCTGGCTGGCCAGCAGTTTGGCAACACCTGGGGACTCTTGGGCCCAGAGTCAGTGGCACAGCCACAGAGGACTAGAGTGGAGAGTGAAGCATCCAGCTGATAAGAAGAGAGGACACATGCATAAGTACACCCACACTTGCAGATAATATCCACTTGACCTGGCTTCAATGGCTAGATGATCAGAGCTCAAACAGAAGAAGAAGAGGGAAAAAATAATAATCTGATACAATTTTATGAACTTGACCTACACCTATGGAGGTAGTAGCTCAAAAGAGGGAACAAATCTTCACAGCGAGGATCATTCCCACCCTCTCCACACACTGAGAGGACAGGGATGGGCAACTTGAACATTGGCTGCCCAGAATGGGGGGACTAAAGAAGCAAGAAATGACTGGCTTACAAGCTTTCAAGAGGGAACCTAGATCCAGAGGGCGTGAAGGAAGGTAGACTCTCCACAGATAGTATTCAATCTGTCTAGGCCTGGCCAAGAAAAGGAGTTGCAGATAGGTCTCTTGCGATACAATGGTGAATAATTGTTATCAGGACTGATTGTAAGGGCTGGAAATGTACAGGTAGACGTTTTATAGCAAAGGGAGGGGAGGGATTAATTTTGCAGTCTAGGAGCAGAGGTCCCTGGGACCATCAAGGGAGAAGGGCGGAGAACGGAACCCTACCCAGAGAAGCAGTGATGCCAGAGATGGAGGCAGAGATGATGACGTGGAGAGATGCAGTAAGCAACAGAAGGCATTCATGGAAAATGGCATAATGAAAATGCCTTTTGGCAGCACAATCTGGCAATGATAGGATGATTTTTCAAAGTATAGTGGATTTAAGACTGCTTAAATAATTTATATCAAGTCAAAGTATTTATTGGGTGTTTATTGTATCATTATATGATAAACTGTGGGGATACAAATATATATAACCCATGCTCTCAAGAGGCTAACAAATTTATAATTTGCTTTCTGTTGCTTACTGCATGAAATCTAGATCTTTCCCCACAATGTAGTTCATCCTTGAGCATTTTATTAATTTAGAACAGTTTTTTAAACTCATACCAGCAGCCAGTTCTGTCCTCAAGAAGGTCTCACCAACCTCTACACATGTCTCATCATTCCTGCCTTCGTTTTCCACTCGACCTTTTCACCATGCAAGATCCACTGCCTCTCCATAGGTAATCTTCTCTGACTATCCCACTCATCTCTCCTTTCTGTACTTTTAATCATTGTAATACTAGGCAGAAACCTGAGAGGATGAATTTTTTGTTCTGAAATTTTGACTTTGCCATTAGAGATGGCAAAAAATGTTTGAGTTTGCCATTAAAGAGCCTCAAAATGATGCAGATGGTCAAAGGATGATACCCAGTTACAGAACAAAGAAAGAATTTTTGAAAGAGGTGTCTTCTCAGATGGTCCATGACAAAGTAACAGGATTTCAAGCGATAGGAATGAGGGAAGGAAATTCTAGACAGTGGGAGGTAAAATGCTCTAGTAGGGGAGGGAAGCACTCTTTTTAAAATGGGGCTACCTCACAGATCAGCAGCCAGGTCTGTCCTCTTGAACAAGTTATATAACCTCTGAGATCTTTAATTTCCCCTCTGTAAAATAAGAAAAATAATTGTATCAACCTCATAATGTTGCTGTGAGAATTCAATAAAAATACACAAAGAATCTAGCATATTCATTGGCACATAATTTGTTGTTGTTAAGTACCGTGGAGTCGGTACTGACTCATAGTGACCCTGCACAGGGTTTCCGAGGCTGTAAATCTTTACGGGAGCAGAAAGACTATCGGAGTCCTGCTCCAACCGCGGGTTGCCCGAGGGAGAGGCGGGGGTCAGTGATCAGGTAAGGTTCCCACAAAAGCCTCATCTTTCTCCCGCAGAACCGCTGGTAGTTCCGAACTGCCAACCTTGAGGTTAGCAGCCGGATTCATAACCACTACACTACCAGAGCTCCTTTACCATCTAAGAAATGTTAGCTAGAGTGCTGTGGGACAATATACTGGACTGCAAGCTTGTTTTGAACTACTTCTCGTTGATCTTATACAGAGTTGCTATGAGTTGGAACCTACTCTAAGGCACTTAGCAACAACAGCAGGGCTGTTATTTAAAAAATAAATAAAAAATGTAAGAGTGAAAAGTAAACTAGTTGCTTAATTAAAAGTCTCATAGACTGGGATCCTAGTACATTGCTGGCAGGACTGTAAAATGGTGCAACCACTATGGAAAACAGGATGGCGCTTTCTCAAAAAGTTGGAAATAGAAATACTGTATAAACCAGTAATTTCTCTACTTAGTATATAGCCTCAGGAAATAAGAACCATGACACAAATAGATATATACATGCCCTTGTTCATCACACTAGCAATATTCACACTAGCAAAAGATGGTGACAACCTAAATGCCTATCAATGGAAGAATGAATAAACAAACTTTGGTACATACACACAATGGAGTATTATGCACCACTGAAGAAAAACAATGAATATGCAAAACATCTCATGACATGGATGAACCTAGAGGACATTATGGTGAGTGAAATTAGTCAATCACAAAAGCAGAAATACTGAATAAGACCACTATTGGTAAAAGTCAAGGAAAGTTTTTTCATGTTAAAAGAAACATTCTTTGATGCTTACTAGGGGTGGGAACAAAGGAAGAGTAATTTAAAGACTGGAGGGTAGACACTTGTTAACTTGGGTGATGGGGAAAGCAATATACAAGACTGAGGTTGGCAGAAGAATGATGAAGGCAAGTGGAGGAGTGCAAGTGTTACAGGGAATGGGGTAAATACTATTATATACACAATTCTGCAATATCAATGATCTACAGGTATATTTCGTCTCTCTTACTTCGGACATACTGTCAGGAGGGACCAGTCGCTGGAGAAGGATATCATGTTTGGTAAGGTGAAGCATCAGGGAAAAAGAGGACAACCCCCAGTGAAATGGATTGGCAAGTGGCAACATCAATGGGCTCAAGCGTGGCAACAATAG